TCAGGGTCAAAGAGAACAAGATGCTCTCCTAAAAAGTCAAGTAGGTCACCTGGCAAGCACAAGACACATGTGATTCTTGTCCTTTGATGCCTGGAGCAGGCCATGCCTACCAAATTAGGATGACTGACATATCCCTGTTGTCCCTAAGGCACTGAAACCACCAGCAGGCTGTGGTGCAGAAGCATGAGGACAGGCTGGTCCCGAGGCTGGGTCTAGACCTTGACACCCCTTCAGAGCCCCTGTGGCGCTGTGTGAATCCTTGCAGAACTGAGATATCATTTTACATGCAACAACTGGAGAGCACCCACACTGCTGCCTTGCTATCTCCTGGTCCTCTTCCACACCTTTGTCCCATTGGGAAAGATAGCTAGCCCCACACACAGTTATGATCCAACCCCTTTCATGAGTCACACAAACCTGACAGTCATGGAGATTTGTGCATTTGACTCCCCCATGAGCTTTTTGAAAATCCTACCCCAAATTTTGCAGAAACGCTCAGCTGGAAGCACCAGGGAGGGCGCTGTACTGGCAAAGCATCTGACACCTTCTCTTTAAAAGAGTAATGCACAAAAAAGTGCCAAAATACTTATCAGAGCTGCATCAGGCACAGGGCAAAGAGGCCTCAAATGAAGGAAATGCACTCTGTCAGGAATCAGTCCTACAGCTCCGCAGCAGCAGCTTGGGGTACAGACAACAGCACTGTAATTGCCACTGGTCTAACAGGGAGTAACATCTCCGCATTGCGGGCGCAGGCTTGAGCGTGCAATGGGGCAGCCACCACAGTGCAGAAGGGGAAGGGTCCTTGTTTCACACGGCTGTTTGGGACTTAAGAGAGCAGCAGGTTTTACTTCTGCGTGGCCTGGCCGTGCCACTGGGTGGGTGTGTGACTCAGCATCCCCCTCCTTAGAGCAGCTACCCTTGCTCCAGGAGGATACGTGTGCTTGGGAGTTTCTTCTTGCCCAGCCAAGCTCAAGGAGCAAGGATAGATGCCCACCTCCTTTTACCTGCCAGCCCCTGCCCCAAGGGTGACTTTCCATGAGCTCCTTGCTGCAACAGGGGAGGAAGAGGTCATCCCCACACCTCTTCCCCACACTGAACTTGTGGGAGCAACAGCAACAGATGGCAATAGGCAGAAGGGACCACTAAAGGGCAGAGTAACCTAGGAAAAGTAACACCCCCTGCCAGTGCAGATACATTTATGCTTGGGGGGACCCAATTCTTACTCACCTCTGAAGAAAAATGCTTCTAGCGCATAGCTCTATTTTTTCCTTTCATGCATAATCTGGCTTGTGCTGTTCTTCACTTCCTTCACCCCGAGGGAAGTCCCACCAGACCACTCAAAACACTGAGGCTGTGGAAACATGTCCACGGCAGGCTCGTGGGTGCTGAGCTGTGACCTAGCTGTGGCACATGGTGAGAAGAGTCAAACTCAGGTACCAAGAGGTATCCATCCCTCAAGCCATTGTGCCCACGTCACTGGTCAGCCTCCTGGGACTGCTGCTGGAAGAGTGAGCTGAGGACACACAAGGCCTCTTGGCTCAGTCCTCATGTTAGCAAGGGTACCAAACATGCCTATACTGCTGCCCTTTCAGAGGTGGCCAGGCCAAACTTTGCCTAATCTGTGACAGAGAAAATAACTGTTCTCCCGAGGAAGGCCAGACCCGTGTTTGGGGTATTAACCTGCGATTCAAGAGACCTAAGGTCATTTTCCTCTAGCAGTGAGATCCCATATGGTAATGGACTTTGTGTCTCAATTGTGATAATGTAATAGCAGCACTGACATCCTGCAGAGAGGCCTGATGGATTAAAAATAATTCAGAAAGAGTTAGGTTATGCAGGATGATAGACTTAGTAGCAGGGGGAAAAAAAAGAAGAATAGAATCAGTGTAGACAGAAAAAACATAAAGCTATTAGGAAGTTCAGAAATAAATGAAGGCCATTTTCTCTTTTGCTAATCTCTGTAAAAATAACCAAATATCTAGGCATTCGGCAGAAGCAACCAAGACATTTATTGCTCAACCTGAGTTAATGTTTTCCCAGGAGAAAAACATTTTGTCCCTTAAAAACATACATTTGCATAGGAAGCTTTCTGATTTTGCAGGGAAGGAGAGACTTTCAGCAAAAAGGGCATGTAATCTGTAAAAGAGAACAATGAAAAGCATAGCTGAAAACACTGAGATTTTAGTGATAATTTTTGTATTTTGATTTAAATTATTATTTTAAATTATTACTTTTTTAGCCAAAACTTCAATTTTATTTACTGAAAAAGGAGGTTTTAAAGCCAGAAAAATTCTTATGATCGCTACTTGCAACAAAAATTTATTTCTCCTAGATAAAACCTCCATTTTATTTACTGATTTTTTTTTTTAAAGCCAGAAAGATCCTTATCATCCCCATTTGAACAAAAAATGTCTTTCTTCCTCCAAATAAATCTTCCTGCTAATCATAATTCTCACCTTACCTCAGCTGTCTTTCAGTCCTGGTCAGCCTCAGTTTAATAGCAGGGTATCACCGTATGAGACACTGCCAGGGAGCTCATAATGAAGTCTATCCCTGTGCCAGAACCGCTTGTTCAGGCAAGATGTGGCAAGTGGATGAATGAAATACAAAACCAAGTCTGGTGAGTCAGAAATGTGCTGCCACAAAGCCCTAACTCTACTGTGCATTGGGAGGCTTGGGTGAGCCTCATCGAACATGCCCAGGAGCATGAGTTTACTATGGGCACCCCACCTAAAGGTTGCTTAACCCTAAGTGTTTCAGTGGCAAGAGGGCGTTTGGCAGATCCCAACAGGCGGGAGTGGAGCAGGGTGGAGGCACTCAGGGCTCAGCCCTGGGAGAAGCCCTAGAGAGGCCTACACGGCGCAGGCAGGACACCAGCATCTCTCCAGCTTGGGCTTCAGGGTGCTGCAGGCTGAGCCATGTTGGCCTGGCAGCCCATTGGGAGCAGGACAACCTCTGACTGGGGGCATCTTGTTGGCCAACATTCCCCAAGGATTAAGTGAAGAACCTCCCTTTGACGCTCAGTCTGGAGAAATGTCTTCAGTTTGAGTCTAGGTGAGAAATGGGGGTATCGCTGAAAACACAAGCACTTAAAAGAGCCAAGAGTGTGGTGCATTTCCCACTTCAAGTCCAGCTGAGGGATACAGATATCCCTCCCAACAGGTCTGGATTCACTAAGACTTTTTGTACTCTCCACCCTCACTGCACCGGTCTCTGCTCAACTCGGCAGTGCAAGGGGGGAACCAGGCCTTTGCCAGCAAAGCTACCCACTCAAACAGAAAAATTACCGTGCTGAACATACTGGCTTTTCATAAATACATATTTAAATGAGTTGCTCTGACCATGGAGGGAGCAGCAGAATGCACCACTCATCAAGGCAGACCTGAGCTTCTCAAAACATTTCATCCTATTATCACTGCATCACTGCCCAAATTCAGAGCTGTACATACTCAGCACATGGTAGGGGCAGTCACGGGGGGGGGGGGGGGGGGGCGGAGCG